TCTACTTTGTATATTTCATCCATGTAGTAGGTAATGCAGAGAATCTTGTCATTGAACTTTGTTAAGTACACTTCTGGAAATGTATATTAAAATTTCTTTTTTAATACCTTTGACAGTGATTCCTCAAGTGATCTATACCACTCATTTGTGACAACTGTATACTTCTTTTTTCACCACCCTAAAAGTACATCTATTTTTTTCTCACTCAGCAGAAAACCTCTTTTTGGAAAAAGATTACCAGGCATTTTAAATCAAATCACATTTTGCAGGAAAGACCTAGAAAATAATGGAGAGGGTTGACTGCAAAGCTTAAGCACAGCTGACTCCACAGCTTCCTGTTCTGGAAGGAGCTATGGCAAAGCCTGGCACCGATCCTGCAGCCACACATGATGTGCTGTCACACACTCATGTGTACCTGGGACAAGGTGAGGCACTGTGAGGTGGTACCATGGCCCACCTTCATTTCATGCTTGCACAGGCTGCAGCTCTCAGCATCGCAGCCTGTGTTACGTCTGCTCTACGGACAGCAACCATCAGGTAATTCTGCAGATCCTGGAGGGTCTGTGTCACTGGGGGGGTTTGTCATTGTTGCAGTGATTTTATAAATGCAATTTTCATGGCCTAAACAACAAGGTGTTTCTTTGGGCAGGTCATGTCCTCTTCTCCACTGCAGTTTTCAGTACTACAGGAAGCCTGGAGCACATTTTTAATGGAAGGCTTATATGGCTTTGGAGGCAGAAGAATGAAATGGTAGCAGACATAGGACAATGACTGCAAATTGCATGCAAGCAGTTGCTTCTCTACATGATGGACTGTGCTTCAGAGGTGTGAAGGGCTCACAAAAAGTGATGAAACACACTACTTTGAAGGCTGTGGTTAACCAGGGGATGAGGATGACTGTATTTGTTCTGCCAGGCAATCTTGAGGAGTCATGATCCAAGAGAAGAGGGAGAAGGCCTGTGCAGGGATAGGGAAGAGCAGCACAGGCAGGTACCACTCTCCACCCACCTCCCTGGGCTTCTTCTACTGGTATGAAATACCTCTGTAAGATCAAGCCTGGGAAATAGTGCAGGAAAAAATGCTTTTTTCCCCTTCTGTTCTCATTATTCCTTTCACTCTTTCTTTCCTTTTCCTCTTATTTTCATTTCTTTTCTTTCCCTTTAAATCCTCACAGGGTTTTACAAAGAAGTTTTTCTGCCAAGCCGTGTTCATTTTAAAGGGAGGAAAAACTGAAGTGCAGGAATTTATGAAGGTAGCTCATGACAACACCTCATGCTGCCTCACCTGGCCTCAGTTCCACATCGGCCAGAAGCAGCAGCTGCTGCAGGACAGGCAGGGGTGCAGCAGAGAGCACATAAACTGCATTCAGATGGCTTTTGTGTCAGAAGAAGTGTAAATGCAGCAATCTGAATTTAATTTGACATTTTGTGATGTCATTGGGATGAGGATGCCCTGGAGATGGGATCTCCCTGCTCTCCAACAGGCCTCCAGAGAGAGTCTGGGCTGCTTCTGTAGGCTGGCCCTGCTTCTGTAGGGTGTCCAAGCAACCTCTCAAACTGCCAGCACGGCGTTCATCACAGCACTGCACCTCAGGGAGCAAGACCCATAGTAAGCTGAGACACTGGGTGTTTAGCACGTGCACAGTGCTATGTTGCTCTTACATACTGTGCCTGAAACAACTCTAATCCTGGTCACTCAAATCCACTCTGTGTGTGTTTGACATTCAGCCCCAAGGGTGGGTACATGGTGAAGACGTGAGATGTGGCCTCTCGAGTGCCTCAGCCACCCCTCTCTGACCTGGAAAGGTCAGAGCAGATGGTTGCTGTTAGAAATACGGGTAGTAATTCATGGAAATAAATGATGTATTAAATAATATAAATGAAATAACCCGGGGAAGGGAAGAGGGGAAGGGGGTTTCCCCTCTCATTCCATTCAGGTTAAGAAATCCAGCCTGGAGACACATGGCAAAACCTCGGCAGATGGACATTTGCATGAGAAGGAGGGTGTAGCTGCCAAGATGGGAAGTGGCCAACGACCCTACGCCCAAAGGATGGCACCAGATAAGATGCCTATCGGGGGACCATTGACACTCGAACCCTGAATGCCCGGGTCCGGGAAATCTGGGCGATGCCTATCTGGAGGGCCATTGGCACCTTGGACATGAATGCCTGGGTTACGGGAACACGGGAAGACAGCGATTCCGCTCTCAGCCGAGGTTTTTGTGCAGCTTGGACAGAGAAAAGAAACCAACTTGAATATGTGAAACTTGGAAAGAGACAAAGGACTACTAGCCGCGGGCAAATTAAACAGTATAAAAACTGTGTCTTCGAAGCAGTGTGTGTGGACGGGGAGAATCTGGTCTTAGCGAAGACAGGTTCCACGTTCACCCGCATCACTGCCCGGGGGTGATACGCTGTCCGTTTTTGGTGGTGGCTATCGGACTGTTACTACGGTCGCGAAATAAATTTTATTTTTCATATTTTTATTAAAATTGGCTGACTCGCAATTCTCATTTATAGCAGTTGCAACTCTTCAATTCTTTATAGGTTTACACTTACAAAATCTACGAATCCTCTTTCTGTAACAGCATCAGCTGCACACAGTTCAAACTCTGCTCTTCTTCCTGTTACCCCTGGATGTTGTGGTGCAGGATTCATTTGGTGTGTTCTGTTACCCCCTAAAGTTATAATGGTTCAGTCCTGGGATCCCCCTCTCCCCCTCCCCTGGAACCTCTCTCTCTGAGAGTGTCAATTCGTTCTCTCCTCCCCTGTTTCCCTGGTTACCTTCTGTCAATCCCTCCCCAAGTTCTGTCCATCACCCACTGTCTCCTTCCCATATTCCAGAAAGTTCTCCTTTCTTTGGTGGGTGATTGGATCGGGAACAAGGGTCCCTCCCTGTCACATTCCCTACTGGCTAGCCGGCATGTTTCTCACGAGTTTGTTCACTCCCTAGTTCTCCCTCATTGGTCAATGTGTCGTGTTCCCACCCGCTTTATAAGCTGCTGTATTCCTGCCTCATGGTCCCTGCTCGGCTGGTGCACCTGGAGTTAATAGAAGGCTCTGGATTTTACCCCCGGGGAGGGACCCTCTCTTCATTCTTCTACTTCGCCTGCCTGCTGCTCCCTGCTGCTCCTTGCTGAGGCGCTCCCGGGACGCCCCGGCGCATCTAGGGAGTGCCCCCCCCCGGCTGTCGGCTGCCGTGCCTTCAGCTCAGCCGGCGAGACCTCCTCCCTGCCCGGGGGAGTAGAGAAACTCGGACAGCAGCACAGCACCTGGAAGCAAGTGAACTTTGTATAACAATGCTGGAAGTGCCCAGAGGCAGCCCCTCAGCTGGGGTGGGCAGGATTGCTCAGCACTGGCTGCTGTGTCCTGCAAGGTAATGCTGATCTCACGAGGCACATCTGTTTGCTGTTTCACAGGTCACAAAAATACAAAAATGGGATTCCTTCTCAAAAATAAAAGGCCAGGGAATAATTTTTAGAGCACCAAGAGAGTACAGGGAGTATTAATGCTGCCCTTATCTAGCTGGAATTGATATTCTGTATGAATTAACACAGAAGTTGGGTTTCTGACGGCTGTGAACTTTCACCATTTTGCTGAGAGGTGAGATTGGTTCAAGCAGGGGCTGAGATTAAAATGTACCTACTGCTTAATACTTTCAGTTTCTAAAAAGAAAAATACTTCTACATTTTGAGATGTTAACACCAATTATAACACCAATTATGAAAGGAAGAGGCATTGCTTGTATTTCAGCTTGATTTCGCTGCCTTTATGCCATATTTTTAAGGTAATTCCTAAAGGCCATATTTAATTAAAAATAATGCAAGAATGAAGTCACATGCTTTGAAAGGAAGAGCTGATTACAGATTACAAGCATAGGGCAAGGAACCTGCATTTTGCATTTTAACTACGCTCTTAAGTCACGAACTGCAAACCCATTAAGCTTAAATATAAATGATCCAGTATCTAATCTCAAACCAAGAGAATTTTTGTTTTCTCCTTTACAGTCATGGGAGAAGACTGATAAATTTACATTGATGAAGTATTCAGGATCATTCAGTGACTTTTTGGGGGGATTGCAAACTCTGTTTTCACTCGTACAAACTGTGCCTGCACCAATTCATTGTAGTGAAACAGACAATTATATACTGAGACTTACTGAGAGCATACCAAAGGCTCTCAGATTTTCAAATTGTCTTGGAAACCCTCTACACCATAAGAACTCTGCTCTCATCTGGGGCTCACACTACTTTGAACAGGTAAGTCTCAACAGAGCACTCCAGTTAAATACTGCAAATGCATTTCTTAATGGTGTTTTCCAAAAGTAAAGTGTCAAGTAGCAGAATTCCCATGCCAAAAGCCTAAATGGACCATCCTAGTAAGAAAAGCCGTCTATAAATAAGTTTTCTTCCACTTTCTATTCTCTGCTGGTTGATGAAAATGCAGAACAGCTTTATTTCTTGTGCACAAAGTTTTGAGCAAGTTGATAACAGCTTGCACATAATTCTCAACATTTCAGAGTGTAATTAGTGGTCCTCTTATGGCAGTTTTTCTTTCAAGAAAATCCACTTCTGAGTTTCACAGCTGCTTAAACTGGGGAGATTTTTATGCCTGAGCTTTGAAAAGTAAGAAAGTGCAGAAACACACATTAAAGGAGATGTGACTCTTTTGTTAAGCATAAGAAGCTAGCAATTCAGGACAGTATACTTCAACACAAAAAAAATGAAGTGGCTACTGAACACTGGCTTTGATTTATGAAGCCAACAAATCTGGTAATAAAGACACATCAAAACCTGTAAGAGCTTTGAATCAGAAAAAAAAAGATCCCCTAAAATAAAATTGTACATACTAAGCAGAGTTTGCAAATTCCTGTGATGGGGGGTTGCCCAGGCTCCCCAGAGAACAGGATATGTTGCTGTGTGTTTTGGCCTTCATTTTTTATTAGTCAGCTTGTCAGCTTTCTCTCTCTTCTCAAAAGTCAAATACAGAAAGAGACAAGGGTTGGTGTAAACACAAGGCCTCTTTATTTTGTTTCAGCAGTACATGACTTCCTATTTAGCATGACCAAAACCAAGCAGAACAGTGGAAATCGCATATACAATTTCTCTTAATACATTGTTCTTCCTTGATACTGCACAAATACAAAAGGAAGGATAAACTCAACATTAACTCCAGTTAGGCATTTTCACACGAACCAGAGCTTATGCACAACAGGTGACAAGCAGACAAATCAGCATCAGAAAAACTTACTCCAGCAAGATGTGAACTCTCCTTTGGGGAAAGAAAATTTGTCTTGAAGTAAGGGATGCAAACATCCTCAGGTAAGGAGCACATGCTAATGCTTCCTAAAAACTTCATCTCTAAAAGTTGTTAGAGGAGTACGCAACCCAGCTCCAAAGCCACAAGGCCAGACAGGATGCTGTTTACAGCCTTCAGTTGTCACCAAAACTGGCCCCTTCTCCTGCTGGCTTATCTTCAGTTTTTTGTATCTAAATATGCCTAGGAGCACTAGGCCAAGGAAAGCTGCTGACGGCTTAAATGCAGATCACAGTAAAACATCTGTGTGTGTTTGTCAGCTGCTCACAGTTTATGTCCTAGCCTTGACTGAGTTTCATTGTTATGAGTTGACTCAAGTTCATTAAGCCAAATCATTGAGTCTAAGAGCTGCGCAAACGTAACAACATCGACCTGGTGGGACAAATATTTTGTGTAGAAGCATTAGGCAGACTGCTGTAAGATCTGCCCTTTATCCTCTTCCTTCTCCCACCTCCACTCCTTCACCATAGTTATTTTCAAACTAAGACTCAGCCTATGAGAAATCACAAACCAATACCAGAATTAAAGCCAATACACACTTATGAGTCATGACAGGGTAAAGAAGTGAGGGTCTAGGCATGACCAAAGCATTCACTTCTGCAGAAGTGACTGCCTCTGCAGAAGCCACAAGGACCTTTTGGTTGGAAAACACTGATTCTGGGCATTTTCTAAGAAAGAATTTCCACAGAAGTTAAACCCCACAGATTTAAGCCAAATTCCTAGTATCTAGACATTCATACTAGATATATGATTATGGGATTTAAAATGTACACATTGGTCTCATCAATGAGCTTAATTTCTAAACAATCTGATATTTAAAACACTTTGTATTCAGTCACTTCAGTCACACCAGACTGCATGTCTGTGCTAGACTCAGTTATCACTGCATCACCAGGCACATGACAGGGAATGATGTCTGGGGCATGAAAAACAGAAATTCTTCACTGGGACCAGACTAATTCAGCCTCTGCTCTGGCCAGTGCTAAATGTTTCACAGGACAGGTATAGATGAAACACAAAATGCCCTTACATTATGTTTCCTCTGCAGCCATTACAGGTAATTTTGATTTAAATCTTGGAGCTGAGCTCTAGAAGCTGTGGAGAGTTACACAATTATGCCATGAGCAAGTATCTGGGCTTGTATTATTAAGCATGTAAGCAACTGCTTTGGAAACTTGGTCAGGTTTTGGACCTCCATGACTTTTAGAAGGAATGACATCCATGATCTAACAGAACATTACCTGGGAATGTATCTTTTTTTCTGAGCATTTCACGCCTAAAATTTCACTGACATGTCATCTTCTTTTTATGAGTTCCTCAGATCAATCTCCTTTCTACTTTGCAGTATTTTGTATTCTGCTATCAGTTTTTTCAAATGTCATCTGAAATTAATTTTTTACCTGTCCTTGGGGACGGTGCTATGTGGAGCCAGGAGCTGGACATGATGATCCTTGAGGATCCCTTCCAGCTCAGCTTATTCTGTGACTCTACACGATCATTTTACAGGTGAATTGACTCCTAACACATACCAGGCTGCAAATAAAGCAGCATAGTTTTTTAATGAAAATCCAGACCTTTAAAAGATGCCCACCTTATCATCTGTTGTGGATTGTTCCTGGAAATGCTTAAAACCATATTTTTAAACAGCTCATCTGAGTAATGACATTAATATCTTTTCCTTTTAAAACTGGAACATCCTTTTAAAGAACTTGGGTTTAAGTATTCTTTTAAAATGAATAATCAAGAATAACTATGTTCTCTTTTGCTCAATTTAACTGTAGCTATTCAACAGTAATACCTTTTGCTAATTTACATTGTATTATGATAATTATATTTGAAAAAATTCTATTTCTCTGCACTTCTTTTTACATTAAATGTTACTATTCAAGTTCATAAAATTATTATAATTTTTTCCATTCATGAGTGTATAATCAGGCACAGAATTTTAGACAGGGTAATTTTAAAGTTCCCTTTTCTAAAAGAAAGCCAACTTATTGAAAAAATTTCAGTGCAGTGAAAAAATACAATTTTCCCCTACAAAACCTTAGAATTACACAAAAATACAGCATAAATATAAACATTAGGCCAAGGCAACATTTTAAAGTGCAGAACTCCACTTGCCACACATGAATAATTCAAATAATGCTGCATAATGCATAGGCAATTCTTACTAGTATTTCAAAACCTAAAGTGACACAATGAGACCAACATATAACAGTATTTCAAATGCATTCTATTTATAATAAATAAGTGCTCATCTGACCATAGAACACAGTAAGCATTTTGTCCCAACAAGCAAGCTTTACACAAATACCCTTTTTTTTATCTTTGTCTGAATGGCGTGCTACCATTGAACATAAAGACATATTAAGCAAGAAAGATCTCATCTACCATCTGGTAAGAAAACTTGTGGGGAGAGACATCTGGAATCTGTTGCATGTACATTTTTCCAGAGGTTTCATCTTTAACCAATCAATTTATATTGTCACATTTTTCAAATTATACTGATGAAAATTATTCCTTTATTTTCTTCCACATACTCATATCCTCTTAATGTTCAGTTGTTTCATTTTAAGGTTTGCGTTTTTTTTGGTTGTTTGGTTTTTTCGGGGGGGTGGTGATGGGGAAAAGGGAGGAAAGTAGAAGAGGGTTGCTTCAATTTGTATTCAGCTACTAGGTTCTGTGATGGCATGAGGACAGGCAGGGAATAGTTCAAGTTCTAGCCTCTGTTAGCATTTTGGTTTGAGACAATAGTGCTGCTCTAAATTCCCAATCATTCTCCTTTCCTGAACTTTGGTTCAGTTTGCAGGGTGGTTTTGGTATACAAGAATTAAGCTTATCTTGGAGAAAACTACACTGGGGGCTCAGCTGCCTTCCAAATATACTCCAATCTCTAAAAGAGACACTAAGAATATGAACCCATTACTTCACCTGCTTCAAAGTGCATGTGCAGTAGGAGCATCTATCCAAGGAAGCAGAATGTATGTAGTCTTGAGATGTACATAGTGTACATGTGTAAGTCTCAGCAGTAACAGCTTTTACCAGTGATCCTCCCCCACCAAAACTAACATCTTGGCAATCTGCACACAGGTACAGAGTCTCAAGGACCAAGACTTTACAGTGGGATCCTTATTGATCCTTCGTGAGTAATTTTCCTTAAATTACTTCTGAGAATTCTGACTATTACATTCTTTGTATGAGCTAAAACCTTTAAATGTTTGTGCATAAGCCATCTTCCACTCAACAGACCTTTGGGACTGCCTTCAATGACCCCACTTAGCTTTTCTGGCAGCAAATTTTTTCTCCATTCAGATCTATTTAAATGTTGTTGTCAAAAGTCCCTCAGTTTATTTTTATATGAACTCCTCCAGTGGCCTCCTCAAACATCAAATTCAGACTTCTTTCCTTTACCCCTAAACACCTCAGCATTTTATGTAAGGCTATCCATCTTGGGCCTCAATCCTCCTGTCCTGGGCATTGCAGAGTGCTGCAGGGAGTCCATGGCACTACTTGCAGGTAGAGTTCCTCCTCCAGCTGAGATTCTTAAAAAGATGATTTTCCATTGCTGTGTCTGGGTAATGTCTGGATACTAGACATTAGAAAAGCTTTAATCAGAAGAGGAATTCCTACCTTGTCCCTGAATTTAACAAGAGTCAAACTGCTCATGACCCAGTAAAAATTCAGATACAAAGCTCACTGGCAGCAGTTATTCTTGAGTCCCTTTGTAATTGGCCCAGCAGTGTAGTCCTGAACTTGTTAAAGTTTTGGTGTGTTCTCATATTGCAAATAAGCAACCTGTCCACCCCCTAAAAGTATTTTAAGAAATGCTGAATCCCTTTCTTAAAAACACCACAAAATAATGGGAAAACAATTAAGTCAGAGACAGTTAAGACTACCACTAAAATAAAAGCATTGATTTAATTCATAGCTCTGGAGACAAAGAAGTAGGGCACTAGCATACATTGTACACAAGCCTGCGTGATCTTTCTTCACCACAGGAAAGCCAAAGCTGAAAACCAGGTAATTCCCTAAAAATAGTTTCAAACAGTAACTGGGAGGATTAAAACATGTGTCTCACAGTTCTTTGGTTTTGAAATGTGAAATTTGGTCAATTAAATTCATGTCAAAATTCATGAGAATAAATGTCCCTGAATCAGGAAAGCAAGTTAAAGAGATGAAGGTTGTTGTTTGCTGAACAAGTGTGCTGCTGGGCAGGTGATTGGGACACATGCAAAACATAAAGTTGAGAAGACACCCTGATGGAATGTGTAAGTCTTAATCCTCAGGTCTTGACTCCTAAAGCCTTAGAAGTCTTGGAACATAACAGGTAGGAAGGCTGTACCTCGGCACGCAGCGGCAGGGTGCAGCAGCCAGGAGGATGCCTGAGCCAGCTCTGACCAGCTCCTGACCCAGGTGATGCCTGCAAGACACCTCCTGCTTATTCCCTGCTGACTGGTACGGCCCTCAGCTTTGGCAAGGAAACCACATCGAACAGACGGTACTGCTTTAAGTGCCCAGATCAGTTGTTACACTTCCCCTTGACGCTATGCTGTCTCATGTAGGCATAATCATAACAATACATAAGCTCTGATAATTCTTTTAAAATCAGAACATTATGAGTGGCGCTGGCCAAGCACTCTCTCTGAAGTAGACCTGTAGTGAAACTTTGGTGCAGTGACCTCCCTTGCTTTGTAAACAGAGGTAAGTCCTATATCCCCAGGCAGTGAGATAAAAGTGCGAAACAAGGCTTATTAAAATCAAAGAAGCTTGAAGTAAGCCTTAAAACCATATTCAATACATGTTTACAGTATCTAAATACAATATTGGTCTCTAATGACCCTGAAATCAACGCGTACATTCTTTGTGTTGCAAAAAACACAACAGAGAAACAAGAAGAAATCCCCTCATCAAACAAACAAAAAAAAAAAAAAAAAAAAAAAAAAAGCAGCAGGGAAATATGCCATTTTAGGAAAGAAAGTCACACAGATTTCCAAAACAAAAAGGGCATATTTTTTTACCTGGAATCCTGGAATTCTACAGGGCTGGAATTATGGCTGCCACATTGAAAAACACAAAGAGCACAATAAAGCTGAGCTCCTTTTTTCAGTGATGATTTTCACCTCAAGTCAAAGATGGTAATGGCCAGAAAGAGACCATTTATCTTGGAAATTTTTAAATGCACTCACTTCCCTTACAGAAAGGAGAAGGGACATCATCATATCATCCTGTCTGAACAGTCAGGAGCAAATGAGTTTGGGAAGATTCTGCAGGATGCTGAACTAAATGAAGCACTCCCTCTAGTCCTGAAATACCTCTTAATTTGTTTGCCTTCGTGTAGCCTGTAGAAATATCTTAGTGCCTGCTTCTAATTTAAAAGAAGTTTAATTCAGCCATCACTCAGATCAAGGTAATTCAATGGAGTGTCTGACTACAAACGACAATCCTAAACTCTTGCATCTTATAAATAAATAAGGACCCTTATTTATTTACAAACACACACTTCTGACTTAACTCTTCTTTAAAAATAGTGTTTTAAATTAAGGTTTTTTTTAAGTTCATAGGAAAAACTGAAAACTACATTCTCCAAAAGGACACTGATTTTTCCATACTTGATAATAACATTATGGAAATTGCATTCTTCCATGATATTCATTACCTGCAAAATCAATTTACAAGCACTGGGTTGTTGTTTTTTTTTTTTTTAAATTCCTATAGAAAATGAACATCTCATTGTACCACATAATGCTTCCTATACTATTATTAAACAGAGCCACAGGTGCCCTCTTTAAATAAGGTATTTATCAAATCCCCAATCAATGCACAAATGCTATTTTTGCAAAGAAATTTAAATAGCCATTCCCTCTAGAACTATGAAAATTTTGGTATAGTATTTCTTGAAAGGTCTAACGAAATTTTCAATGTATGCAAGTTTTTAACATTATCCAAAAGTGAGGTGTCATTCTTGATGATCAGGCACTGTGCTTAATCAGTCTTTTCCAAATCAGATGCAGAATGACCAGCAGAGTATTTTGCAAACAGAAAACAGATTTATACAGAGCTTGAAAAAGGAACCACTTGCTTTCCAGACACATACACTTCAGAAATATTCCGATCATCACCTGAAATAACATGGTCAAAACTGAGATTTGCTCATAAATATAAACACTGATTTAATTAATGACAATTATGCAGTCTACAAAAACAGTTTTGGAACACATTATTTGCAGCAACCATTTCCTAGAACTAAGAAAGTCCATTTGGAGATAAATAGTCAGGACTACCACAAAAATTAATAAATATTTTAGCAACCCATGTGCTTTAAAAAAAAAAAAATAAACAAAGCATTCAGCTGCTGCAATAGTGCCATAGATTTTCTGTATATTCAGTAGATCCAAATCCCAAAAATATTATGTATCTGTACAGAAAATGATTTTTTGCACAGTATTTGAACTGGCTTGGGAGCCAGCGATCAAGAAAGCTGGTGTGACCCAGACAGCTCCTCAGAAAGGCAAAAGTCTCATTACAGCATGACACAGCTGTGGCCACAGCTGGCACCAGGCACCTCAACATCACAACACAGCAGCAGCGCAGCCCCGGTCCGGACACTGCCCGGACACATTTACGGACAATTATAAACCAGTTTTTATTTATTAATATCAAATATTAATGCTAATTATTGGGGACATGTTAATGTTCATAGAACAGTTGAATAAATATATTTAATTACTGCAAACAAATGTATACTTACTTATGTAAAAATAAATTTATTATTAACCCCAACATTTAATTTAGACATTTGATATAGGAAATGAGAATTCAACTTGAGCTGAAAATCAAAACATACCTAGATACAGGAACTTCTGGAGAGTGTCCTTTAAAAAAAATGGGAGAAAACAAATTCAGAAAGCAATATGTGCTGTCCCTGATCATAATAATTTGAAGCTTGAAAGAACTGATAATAACAGTTCTCCTAAATATTCTTAGTAACAGTGAAATCAAAACTTAACATACATAATTTAGTTTTTGAAAACAAGGCAAATTTTAAACATTTGTAAAGTGCTAATAACAATAACAGTTTAAAAGGTTTAGATTTAAACTTAAAAAAATAATCCTTTTAACAGAACTGGAATTGTTTCCAGGCAGTCTGACCACATCTATAAATTCAAGTAACTGCCCTTCACTATCTTTTTTAGTCAGAGAAGGATTTTAAATGAGAAGGTGTTTCCATACCATAAAACCAACACTGCTTTAATGTTAACATAAAAACTGTGCTTTTAACTCAAATTAGCCATCTTGAATGCTTGCTTCATTTTGTAACAGCAATGCAGAAAAGGCAACCTAACCTTTTTCTGGGAACAGGCTGCCATTTTTCAGTCTGAACTCTATGTATTGACTAAAAATAAATTGCTTATTCTTGGCTGCCATTTGTTACTGCAAATACATAACTGCAATTGTCATCTTGGGCTAATAAAATCTGCATTTATCAAATATTACAGGCATTTTTGCTCATGGTGTTATGGCACTGTCACTGGGGTCAGCAAGATTCTGAAGAAAAAAACCCATGGAACACCTAGGCTGAAGCACAGACAGCAGGGGTGTAGTACACCCAATCCCTGTCACCAGAATCACTCCCAAGAGACCTTTTCTCTCTGTATCATGGACCTTCACCATACCACTTCCACTAATGTTTGGATCATCAATCCTGTTCCGATTACCTCAAAATCATCAGCAGAGAACAAGTCAAAAGGGCTGTCTGAAGCCTTCGTGTTGATTAGCAGTGCATCAAATTCTTTTCCCACCTCAAAGTTTCCAATCACATCACCCAGTCCTAGAGCTGAGGAAGAAAATAAGCTCATAAACACATCATCAGGACCAGCCTCCTTCCACCATGTAGAAGTACCTGGCAACTTATTTGAAATATTCATAAGACAAACAAAAATTTAGATGATTACAAGGAAAAACCCAAAACCAAACTGAATAGTGTTAGCACCTGAGCTCTTAAGAGACTTAAGAAACAATAGGTTATATTCCAAAAGCATTTAAACTCCAAATGGGGCAATAAAATTAAGTCAGAGAAACAGTAAAGCATTGCTTGCTAAGGCAGTATTAAACTGCATTTTTAAAAAATATTTGAGCAATTTTGAAAGGTTGTATAGACATGTTGCAATAATAATATATAGTAATATAATAATAAAAAAATATCCAGTGAGTAATTGCAATTAGCAGGAACAAAGAATAGTATGGTGTGGAAAAATAATCATAGCCAATCTGAATGTCTCATACCTACCTGTACAGCTTGCCTTGTGGTCTATTATTTAGCTTTATTTTTTAAAAGTTTCATTACAAGCACAAGTTCTCAGGTCCACATGCCCTGAAAACCTAAAAATTCATCTTCAGGGACTTGGTGATTGCAAGTGCTTAGAATACCTAAAGAGAAGCCTTTGTGCCTCTTTAGAAATAAATTAGGACCGTTTTAAGTTCTAGAAATAATCTGTAAATTAAATCTGTTTTTCCAATACCCTGAAATGAAGTCATCAAAGAGCGTAATACCTGCAAATAATTTATTTGTTTTCAGATTGTACTGATAAAGGAAATTCAGTCTTGAAGTTACTTTCAGAAGTCATTGAAGTTTGTGAGTGGCAGGAATATCAAAATATCTTAAAGACATTTAAACTCCTACAGATTCTGAAATATTTTTATTACCTACTAGTTTCAACTAAAATGATCTCACGTTCCTTCAGGTTTTTGAGCAGAATGCAATTTTTAGATTAAACACAAGAGGGTGATAAATGTGTAGAAGTCTTAACAAAGCAAACTATTAAAAAAAAAATCTCTCATTTAAATTTCTGCTACTGAAATTTTCCCTTTCAGTATCCAGGCTACTGGAAGCTTGTAGAAGTAATTTATGTTCTACCCTAAAAATTGATTCAGTAAGGACAAAACAGCCTAAAATCTATATTAAAAATTAACACTTTACTAAGGAAGCCTAATACAGAAAAAGCACAAGAGTAGCTGGGAAGGGAAAGCACATAAGAGTTTGGGATTTTTATAAATCTTCCTTTCTGTGTCTCAGCTAGTTTATTCTCACACTTTGTGGAACAGTATATATTGTAGGAAAAAGAACACTATTTGTTTCCTACTCATCTTCTGTCTTCTCCATTTCCCCCATTACACTCTCCAGGAATTCAAACACAGTTCTGAGAGGACCCGATTGACAACATTTTCACTACCTCTTTTAAGCTTCCATTAATAATTCCCAATGGAGCTTTTTGGCAGCTACAGACAGGTTACACTGAGAAGGTTTGGGACCTTTAGAAGGTAGCGAGCTCATTTCTGGTAACTGAAACAATAATAGGTTTTCACTTACAGGTAGATTTCCTCTCTGCTAAATCATATCAGTTACACTAAAACTTTTTAAATTTTATCTATTTTTATGTGCACACTGATTACAGCAAAACTGGTCCTCCAAAACTGGATAACCCATATACTATATGATTGCATTCTGCAAATGCAACTGTGTTTTGAACAACCATGGTGGAAAGCCTATTTTTCTGCTTTTCCTTGAGTGAGGAGTGATTTGCATGATGTTTTGATTTGCAACAAACTGCCTCACTGACAGCTCAAAAAAGCACAAGCAAAATTAGAAACTGATGACAAATAGAATGCATGATTTTACAGTAATTGCAGTTTTTCTTCTAGGTGGTGGTTGCTGAGAAAACAAATTTCCAGCTGGTACAATAAATAGACAAGCACTAACAGCCTTATGACTAAGAAGTCTGAGGATCTTTGCAAAGTAAATGTACAACCCTAAAAAGCCATTAAGATTTTGTTATTAAACTCTCAGCATTAATAGAGTACTCCTCTCTGAAAAGCCTAGTATGAGCATGAGAAACTGAAGGATTATCTCTGCCTACCAGTTAGATTTCACTCTGGCACCGGAAAATCTGTGAATCTCCCATGAAGACAGGGAGACATATAATCAAAGAGAGCTGTAGCTCTCCGTATGCACACTAAAGAATTTTCTTCTTACCTTGGCTTCCTCCCAGAGTAGCTAGCTGAAAAGCTTCTTTAAGAGTTAGTCCTGTTTCATTCACTTTATTGATCTGAAGGCTATTAGATGCCATCATTGTTTTCCTTATAGCATCAAGCATAGAAGCTGAATATCCACCTGCAACATCTAGAAGGAATGACAGTCTTAGAAACAAGCTTTTGGTATAATTTTCTGTGTTAAATTTTTGTAAGTTTTAATTCAAAGTTCTGAAGCGACATTTGTGGTAAACCAAACAAGTTCTACAGCTAAGCATTGTCTCTGAAGGCTTAATTCCCATAAAGGTGCTCTCACACAGAGTCAGGTGAATAGAACACAACACAAAAACAGAAACCTGAAAGGCTGATGTTCAAGCCCTGTTTAAGCTCACAAACAGCAACAAACAAAAGTCTTCACTAATTTTTAAAATTTGTTTTAAAACAGTTTTGGACCAACCCTAGATTTCAATAGTCTAGGCTTCCTTACTCAAGTGGAGAAAACAAAGGAGGACCAAGAATTGGAGACATGTTGACTTTTAAATATGAACAGGTGAATGTATCTCCCAATGGTTTCCAGAAAAAACACTTTCAGAGCAAACTACTAACCTGTGCCAAGACCAAGCTTCACATTGTGTTCGAGAACCTTTTGCACATTTAAGACACCACTGCACATCCTGGATTGGAAGAAGAAACACATTCTGTGTGCTACATGCAGAAAAAGATCAGGAAAAGCAGGGCTGCAGAGCCATTTTATCACCAGGACTCCCCCTTAAAGTGTACAAGATTTGGTTTATTACTTATTCTGTCTGGATACCATGCAGTATCTCATGTCTGCTCAATAGAAAGAAGACTTTATAGTCCATTTCCCCAAATCATTAGCAGACTTCAGGGGGAAGGGAAATGCCACTGACATCTACCACGACAGAACAGTCAAAAGAAACAAATTTTTAGAAAAGAAATATTTATATAGATATGGCTATAGATGCAACAACTAAACTGAAAGACCACAAATTGGCCCAGAGCATGCTATGCAAAGTGGATAATGAATGGTCATGTTCAATCCAATATGTCATTTCTGCTGTCATGAGGTATCATATAGCTTCTATATCATAACTTTGCAAGGGTAGCATCGACTCAGGGTACTACACAAATAATAGCTTTATTTAATTATACACCATTCCTATTTTCTTTTTTTAACTTACGAAAAGTTAGAATTGGGGCAATGTGAAATTGCAGCTCCACGAAGACTAAAAAGTTTCAGCTCTTCTTCAGAAAGATGACAGGCATGTGCCATCACAGTCTAAAGAAAAAGAGAATCACAAATTTACTCAATATTTAATTTAATTCTGTGGTTGTGAGGTTTGCGGCACTGCTTTAAACAGCCAAAAAGGACATGTAACCATTTAGTGAAATTAATGCACTTCTTGAATTAAGCTCTTAAAATCCACAAGGGGAAACCTGGTTAACTTCAGCGTGCCTGATGTATCATTCCTTCAGCTTTTTTGCATTTTTTAAATATAAGAATGCAGGGTACTTGCTCTTGCAGTGACTGCTGTGACCAAAGACAAAAGCGAGAACTTCCCAGTTGTCCTGGCACTGTAACAAGCTTACAATTTATATTTTGTAGCTAACACAGAGATTAAGTACTGGGGCTAGGAATAAATCAGATAAAATGGAAGATGTATGTACTCTTAGCATGTTTCCTATTAGCTCTCTAAAGGTTTGCACTAGGGAAAGATAGAGAGATTAAATATTCTTTATGTAAAATATAATCTAATTTTTTATGCAACTGATAAATTGCTTTTACTTTCAGGCTGACATAACTGACTTTAAAAATAAGTTCACAAGAAAAACATGGAAGGATAGGATAGAATAATTTAATAGTGGATAAACCAATTATTCCCATACAAATCTAATTTGCGTTACCTCATATGCCAAATGCCCACTGAAAGTGAGGATCAAGAGCTCTGTTGCAATCTGCACATAAAATTGAGCATGGCACAGAGGCTGCTTCCACTGAGCATCTCCTAATGGCACTGCACCCCTCCCATCTCTACTCATCAAGCTCACTGTAGCTGAAAACAAGGAGTAGCCACATCTTCAGATAAGGACCTACATAAGGTAGCTACTGAAGCATATCCCTGCCAATCTGTACTGTTTCTAAAAGGAAAGAGACATTTCAGCAACAGCTCAAAAAAAAAAAAAAAAATCCCTGCTCTTAAAACACTTCAAAAAATTGATTTGATGTCTTGGTTTGAGGGATGGGGAGAAAATATCTGAGGTTCTGCTGCCATACTTGTGTTTAATAGAATCTTTTTCCAAATACACAGGAGTCTGACTCCAGAAAGCACCAGTAATCATGATTTTTCATGACCGTTTTCACTTGTGTGCATACAAGTCACAGAATTAAGACCTGTGCTTTTGCAGCACAAAAAAGCTCTTGAGAACACTTGCACACCAAATCAGCATACAAAGTACATGTAAGAAAACAAAGGATAATTCTGTGTACATACTTCTGCAGTCCATATAGATTTCTCAGCAAAAAGGACAGTAAGTAAGTCTTTTACTGGGGTAAAATTTCAAACACAGAATTGGGAGTTCAACAGCTAATTCCTAGGGAGTTTCCAGCTGTTACCCCTTGTGTGTCTGAAAATTCTCTCATGAATTTTTAAATGAACTTGACTGATTTTTAGGTACTCTGACTATAGTTAGGCTGTTCATATTCACTTTTGCACGGGCAGTCCACTATCTAATTAGGTGTGCCCTGGGTCTCCAGCCTGTAATTACTGTGGGCAGGTGTATTACATTTATCTCAACAGCATAAAGCTGTAATGAATTTCAATTCTTTGGGCTAGTGTGCCTCTCAAAGCTCAGTAAAATAAGCTGGTAAAATGAGGTGAGAGTGCTTTTGGATAGTCAGAGCAGTGTAAGTGCACCTGTCTGCAAGCAAGGTTGATGTTTAGAACTCAACACTGAGGGCTACTTCTCCACAGGAAGAAAGTTAAGCTGGTCCTAACATAACACTATAGAAGAAATCTTCAGGCAAACTGCAAAAACTGGATAACATCCTTGGAATAAAAGGGTAACTAGGTAATGTACAAGAATTGCCAGTTCCTACAATACCAACTTTATCTAGCTTCCTTCTAACCCCACTGCCCTAATTCTTTCTGGACCCTTTAGAAAATGCATCAGGGAGCACAAAGTATTTTTCTTTTTCACCTCCTCTAAAATATTTAGGAACACTGTGGGCTTGTTTAAAGATCCAACACCTCAAGATAGAACATAAAACAAATTTACTTTTCCCCAGATGCCACTGACCTTGACAGAACAATACAAATTTTTCAGGTAAATACAGTAAACCATCATATTCTCTACATGGACTAAGGTAAGTCATATTTGGGAAGTTTTTATGTGGCTACCTTGCTGGTTAGCAGCTTGTTTTTATCATACAGTTCAGTGTAATTCTGGTAGGCAGGAAACATGTCCTTCACAAGTTTGACTTCTTCCTCAGTCTCACTTATGTGACTCTGCAACAAGAAAATGCATAGAGCGAGTCCTTTAAACAGCATTGAACCTGACATTGCAATCTTCTGAGCAATCTACTGGTGCTAAACATACATTCATAAAAACAGTGCTCGTAAAGCCTATGGTTCAATATAATCCTTGCATCTCGTTTTTCATCAGACCTCAAGAAGTTTTCATAGGACCTAAAGAAGTAGCTCCATTTGTTCCTTATATAATAAATAGGAATAAAGTGATATGAGACGGTACACATGTCCATCCCAGTAATGTGGTGACACAATGGCCCCACTTTGTTTCAGGAAGATGTTAAAATAATAGGTAAAATAATACACAGTGTTATTGTGAGGTGAAAGAGAGAACAAGCCTACAACAGAGTGGATGCTGAGCTCAGGGCAGCAGATATGTATCTCCTCCCAAAGGTATCTTTAGATGGTCAGCATGCTGTCTGTCCACACCACTTAAATGGCACAGAGCTCTTAGAGCTTACCTGCACGTGGAGATCATGGGTTTGTGCTAAATCCCCAAGGGCATTCAGCAAGTCCTCTGTGCAGGAGGGGCCAAAGCGGGGGGTTATGATAGGCTGTACTCTGGGATACTGAAAATAGAAGGAGATGAGGTTTGTATATACATATACCTATACATTTCAGTAACCATAAGACTAGCATTTCCATGGCAATTACATTTTGTCTTCATTGCTTACTGCTTACTGCATTCTTGACAACTCAAATTAAGCTGTATAGTAATTTCCTTGCTTTCGTTAGACATCTCATTGCAGAAACAGAGAATGAAAGTGGGCGTTTCTTACAATAATTTTAATAAACTTTGTTAAATAATTTGTTTTTATTAGAACTTTCATCAAGTCGCTGAAATTTCACCAGTCTTCAGCAGCACTGGATGCTTTTTCATATTTGCTGACAGTATAAATGCATGATGAGAAATAAGTCAGTTGAATGACCAGATTTTTTTCAGTCACACTTCTGTGACCATTGAAGATATAATGATGCAAAATTGCAAACTTCTGTAAAACCGAAGCTATTCTCTTGCTCAATCTTCTTTACTCGTAACAGCAACAAACGCCTAAACTCCTTAGATAAGAAGAATGGTGGTATAATCAGATATGCTATACAGTAGGAAATAGTGGAGAAGACAGTAAGAACTACAGAGGTTTACACCTTGCATCTCTAGATTAAAATTTTTCTAAAGAAATAGTCAGCAGGATTACAATTCTGTCACCTGTCAGAGGCAAGAGCTCAGCACAAGCCAGTAAGTGGTAACTTGGACTGCAGTTCCTTGTACTATCTCCCAGAAAAAAGGAGCTTAGGTCATTGCAAATTAGCCAATTTACTCTAGTGATACATAGTTTAGGAATTACTCTAGTAATATAATCAGTTTAGGCACTAAACTCCAGGAAACTGCTCTTGAATAATTTGAGGTGGGATGTCAAAAGAAGCCACTGAAAACTAAAGGCTGATAAGAAAAGTACTACTGTGTATAATGTTGGAGTGTAAACGTCTATCTTTACCACAGGAGTGCAAGCATGAATGTCTTTAGAAACACACTTTAAGACAGGCACTGACCCAAAACACTAATTTTACAACGCATTAGTAACTTTACTGAAAAAAATGATGATTTCTGCTGGTGAATTCCTTCAATTAGTCTGGCTACTTCTATACTACAGAGTGATAAATTGAATTCCACCTTTCTTAACAAGAAAATCATCCTTTCTAGGAAGCCAGGTTTTTCAAACTCAGTAGAGAAACACAGAGAACATTGCTCTTTTCTGAGAACAGAAAACTGATTTTACACTGTTACAAGTATACTTCCCAACATGTCTAGAACATTTTTCAGAGTGATGATATCTGTCTATTACACAGAAATATGTATATTTATTGATTTGTCACTAAGACAACAGATTTGGATAGCAGGATTAATTATTTCATGTGTTCACACAGCATCTTCTGAATACAGAAGTGAATTCAATAAAGAACACTACTTACTTTCTTTTCCAGTAGTTCTCTAACAAACCTGAAAAAGGGTAGAAATAAAGTTGCTATAAATCTGCCCTCTATGTAATAAATTATGAAAAATATAAAAAATATATATACTTGGATACCTGTTAAACATTTTAGACAGATCAATTTTTATACAAAATGTTGAGCCAGACCTTCAGATGAAATAAAAAAGGGAACACAATGAAGTCAGCAAAGTGACACCAAATTAAGCTAGTTTTGAATTCGACTCCGAACATGCCGACTACTGTTTCACAGCAATACTCAGTATCAGACAAGCAGTAATTATTCTGATTTCTCTCTGAAAACCAAACACATCCTCCATTAAATTAATTGAAAACATAATTATAACCTAGAGCTGCAATACTGAAGAAAGAAAAAACATACCAAACTTAAATTTGTTTGTCTGTGAATTCAAATTGCAGTGTTTAAACCTTTTCAAATCCAAATTTTAAAAGATGCAGCAATATTTTATATCTTACAGTAGATTCATATGTCCTTGTTCACTTAAAGAACCTTTGATTTTTGGAAATGCTTATATTAATGTTAGTGTATAGACTATCTACCTTCTGAAAAATATAGATTTACTTACTCTGTTAAATAAAATGCTACCTCAGACGTCTACAAAAAACCCCAAGCAGTCACTACAGATAATGCAGATGATAACTAAACTCCCTCCTACTCCTACTAAACTTCCTCCTACTTTGGAAGGAGGAAATTCTTTGAAAGCCCATTTGTTCAGTGTATGTAAGTGACATGTAAAAGATAGTTTGAGATGCTTTCTGGACAGGATCTCTGTGAATTTTTATGTCATAGTTCATAGTAAGAAAACTGTGTAATTTTAATCACAACACATGTTGTATCAAGTTTTTCAAATGTCTTTGGAGGAAAAGGAAAATTGTGCTAGAGGCTACATTCACAGCCCTGAACCTCGCGCTAGATCACCAGATGGAAATGAGAAACCGGAGTTTCACTTTTGCAATGACCAAAGGAGTTTGAGCCCACCACTGTCTAACTTGAGAGCTAAAATACCCAGCAAATTAGCTATCACCTGCCTGTTCTCCTCTTACCAATTAACCTGATCACACTTGATCAGAAGCTTTATGATCAGAACTTGATCAATAAAATATGCACTTGAGCAGAAGCTTTAAGAGAAATCCAATGCCCAGTTGACAAACCAAATTTCAATGTGACTGTTTTTATTCTTTCTCACATTTTTGAACAGTGCGAGCTGTTTCAAAACTGATGAAATGTGATTAAATATGTTTTGCAAATATAGCCTGTAGTTTGTTGGCTTACGTACTTCTCTATGAGGAAAGAAGCTCAGCTCCAAATCACTGTCTTCTGTAGCAGAACAACACAGGTTCTCATCTTTGCAGCTAACTATAACTAATAGTAGCATATCTAATCTAGAGTTCAATTCCCTAACTTTTCATTAAATCCTCTTTGACAAAGAATGATAGATTCAAATTCTTGATTAATTTAAATTTCATATATGAAGTACTTGGAATTGTATCTTATTTCCATGCATACAATATAAATACTTCTGAATGTTAACTCTAAGTGACTGAAATGAGTGTAGTCCATTTTCTGACAGTGTGACAGATCACATTTCTTAGATTCTTAAAAAGCAATAAAAACCCAACTAACATGTTGCTCTCTTAATGAAACAGCTTTTTCATTCTTCTGCAATTATATTGCTGTGATTTGGGTAAGTACTCCAGATTATGACAAGAAGCACACAGCCCTATTCCCTAGACTAGCTATGGAGTACTTGTGGCAACCTCTCACCCAAAGCTGAGAAACGTTTCTTATTACACAATCAAAAGGGAATGACTTGGAGGCACAAGATAGACATTTAAAAGAAAGCTCTTTAGATCTTTCTGAAGCTTTAAAAACCTCTTTTAAAGAAGTTCTGCTTCTTTCAGACCTATATGGCAGGACATGCACTGTATTATGGAAGACGGGGATTTACATAGAGGGAAACAAATGTTAGAAGAGTGAAGGTAACTAATACTGCATGTTTTAAAAATTTCTTTAAATATAAACACTATTAGAAATACATGAACATTTCTAATTTTTATTGTCATGCCTTTAGCATGATTTGTAAAAACAAGGGAGCAACCACACACAAGTGTCAAAATATATTTATATTACTCTTAGGGGTTTTCTATTTCAGCATGACATCTGAAACTTTTATATAAGTAAATAGACAGTCCCATGAGAAGAGCTGTATGTCTGCTTAACTGTTTTCTGAGCATGGGTGCAAAAGACAAGAGAAACATGATTAGTAAGCTGTCATAATCCAGTCTTGGCTCTCCTCCGCTATAAACCTTGCCTTCATTTGGTTCTCCTTCATTCTCTCAGCTGCATGTTGGAGTAGTTTGACTGGTGCTGTGATGGAGAAGAGATGTTTAAAATGGGGTATATGAAAGCTGAGTTCCACAACTTGAATAAAGCCTTAACCTAAATGGTGGAAGGAAATAGCTTAGAAGTTAACGGGGATGAAGGAACTGGCTCACCTCACCACTGTATGTCAGGTCCCATGATCTGACATACACAGCTGTGAAAGGGAAAAGAGGCAGAAGAAAACAGACATATCCTCTCAAACCCTAGATACATGGTTTCTCCCTCTCTTTAGCAAAGCCAAAGACATGCTACTTGGGCGGTGCAGCAACTTTTGCAGGAATTGCCAGGGCTGTAGGGAACAGTACTGTTGGAAGAAAAACCCTGATGCTAATGAATTCACACCTGTAGCTCTTAGACAGATTCACATTCACTTTTCAGCGGTATGAAAAATTTTATTTTAAAAGGTTATGCCATAAATTTTATCATTTTACCTTTCTGTCTCTTGGACAGAGTCAGCAGTAATCTCTCTGTATTCTGGAACACTGTCATTCACATCCATGCAGACTTTTCCAACAAATGCTCGTTGACCAAATTTATCTGTTGAGATGCATTAGAATATAAATCTCAGAATCACTGGTTCTCAGAAACCATTACCAAAGCTTGTACTGAAATAAAAAAACAAAGTCCACCCCACCCAGCTCCATTTGCGATGACCAGAATTTATGCTCCTGTCTTGTCTCTAAGTTAGGATCATTCATGTGACTTTTAAGGATAAAAATAAAAGACTAAATAAGGAAACAAACTACATCAAATAAGATCTGTCTTCCACATTAATACTCAACTTTATAAACAATAACTAGATTACTATAGTTTAACCACAACCAGAATTCTTAATGGTAGTCTATGAAGACAGCTCTGACACAAAGGATGAGAAACACAAGCATCAAAGCACAGTAGCTGTAGTAGATGACTACCTGAAGATGAGAGAAGACATAAAGATCTTAGCAAACCATCTCTCTTTTTGCTAACAGGCAAAGAGTGCTAACAGGCCTCCCTCATGCAGTTAGAGGGAGAAATTTCCAGATCTGTTCTAGACTCTTTCTTGAGATTTACCCATGCTAGATGAATAAATCAGAACTCATGTAAAACACACACATAATATCCAATTCTAGGCTGTCAAATGTGTTTTAAAATCAGATCTCTTTGTCCACTTTTACTATTTGAGTTGTTTAATGTAATGGTTTTAAAGTTTTCCTAATAAATCAGAATAGCTAATTTTTGATGGAATTTGAGATTCTTATTAAATTTCTCTGCTTTATGAGCTGTCTGAGCCTTGAGAAATCCTGCAAGAACAACAAGATTTTCAAACAGCAAGCATTTCCAACTATGAACAGAAGGGAAGAATAAGATTCTGATGCAGCTTCCACTTCTCTGATTTGTGTGAAGATTTTTGATATTTAGACCTCAGTGTATCAGGAAATTAATGCACTGACTGGGCCTCCTGTCATTCAGTTCTTTTAAACCTCCAATAACAAAAGGTCAGAAAAAGCAGAGAGCTGCAGCTGAAGAACAAGTCCAGCAGACCTAATTCAAGCTCAGCCAGCAGCTGATTTGGGAATGAGAAGGAATAACAACCATAGGATAGAGGTGTTTAAGTGGAAATGGCTAACAGGTGGGTTTGGGGACGCAGTGTGACAGGTACAATGAATAAAAAACAAATTAGGAGAAAGACAGATCCCTAGCAAGTCTAAACTCCTAAACATTGTTTCCTTCAACTAACACGATCCACACAATCCTTCAAAACTCACTGTTAGACTTACCTATAATTTCAGCAAGAAGAAGGGAACTATCTGTGTGAATAGTTGCAAAGTAGCAAGCTGTAGTCGTGCCATTCTTTAGAGTTCGTCTCTAAAAAAAGAAATCAGTTTCAACTGTCTGAGAAAAAAACCAGTAAAGCTGTCAAAATGCAGAACAGGAAGTCTCATTTCAAACTGCAAGAACATTTAGTTATTGTGAAATTTTGCAGTGAAGTGGGAAGGTAAAAATTTAGACTTTTAATTTGATAAAAGCTTTTTTTAAGTCTGAGGGCTAATAAATACAAAAAACTCCTCACAACATTTTTCAGTGGCTAAACCCATAGAAACCAGTCTCTATTCCTTTCCCCAAACAGGAAATACTCCAACTTATATTTAGAAATACAAACAATTAGTAATTTTTGCTGTTTCCTAGTTATGAAAGGCTCTCCGATTTTCATGGTGAAGGACTGTTTACTAGTGTTCGCAAAGCTAGGCTTTTGGGGAACATGGTGGTTTTCTTTTAGCAACCCGAGCTAGCTGGAAAAACAAGTCAGGTTTTCATGTATCAAAAACCTTTGTTGCCCCAAATACCAAGTATCAAACTTAACTGTAAAAGTAGACTGAGCAAAACCACTCAGACTATGTGCTAATTATTTATCTAGTATACCATTTGAAAGGAAATCCCCATATTGCCTTTGGGGAACATAACAGTAAATTACCAGGTATTTTAGTTACATTAATTCATGATGAAATTTGTAGTTTCTCTTGTCCTTGGGAGTGATGCAAACTATGTTGACCACTTATCCAACATACAGGCCTAAACTATACTTTTGGGTTCTGGCTGCCATGTGGAGCTGGACATGATGATCCTTGAGGATTTTCCCCTCATCAAACAAACAAAAAAAAAAAATAGCAACAGCTCTTGTTTTGTTTTGTCGGTTTTGGTTTTTTTTTTTTTTTTTTTTGCTTTTTTTTTTTTTTTTTTTTTAATGAGATAAAAGGTGGGACGTCCCACACAATGTTTGGAGGATGTCTAGAGTTAATTATTTGACAAACATGAAGCCAAGCTCTGTCTAGTCCTTACAATATTCAAATGAAAATCTTTAGAAGTTCCAAAAAAAGTCTCAAAATAGCAATGTCATTAATAAGACAAGTTGCCTTTGTCTTTCCTAGCTTTTAAAATTCAGAATTCTCTTCTTCTAACATCCTAACAACATTGTTAAAGTAAATCTAAAAACATTCTGTTTCCAAATCATCAGCACAATGAGGAGGTTCCAGCTAAAAGCAGGAAAATTTCACCTAAATTGTTTATTTTGCCGAGTATAGAAGGTGTTTGTTGGAAACTGGACTTTGATTTGAAAAAATCCACTGCTTTTTCATTACAACTTCATAAGCACAATGATACTTATGAAAAAAACGTCTGCTCCATGAAAGTTTAGTTCTGTTTCTAACAGATGAAGGGGATAATTGGCCGCGTCAAACACTGCAGAGTGACTGGTATTCTGTATCTTCTGTGGGTGAAGGCACTTTCCTGACCCTGTTCTATTTGATTCACATGGGGACAGCCTAACCATGGTGTTCAGGCTCCCACAGCTAACTTCCACCTCTCTCTGGCAGCTCTTTTGCAGAGGATACTGTGACACACCTTGCAGGGTGAGGTCTCCAGATGCGCTGGGGTCACTCAGCCTGCACTGCAACAGTGTGTTGGGCACACAGCTGAAAGGTGAGGTCACCTCTATGTTTTAAGCACTTGAAGGCATGTGTGCTTGTCACTGGAGCTTATGACCAGGCTACTCCTGCATGCTTTTATCATGGCAGATGGCAGAAAGTAATTTCTTTTAAAATTTGTGTGGCAGGGAACAGCATAACTATTTATTTCAGATTTGTTATGTTATTATATTGACAACAGATGCTGCCAGGGTAACAGACAAATGCAAGGCAAGTTATGCTGGCCAAATAATTTAATCTGTTGAAGATATTTCAGTCCACATATTGAAGGATAAATTTCAGTTACAGCCCAGAACTAGTACTCTGCAATATGACCTAGGTGCCTGTTGTCCATCCAGTAGATCTCAAAAACTTTATGATGCTCAGAACCAGTCCAGCTCCAACACATTCTTTCTTTGGCCCACAACACCACGAAGAGACTCCTTCTAAAGCCCCTGCAGTGAAAGACATTCTCACTATAAAGACCTCTGCAGCAGCAATGTCTTCCTTTACTCCTCCAGAACACCCCAGATGTATCATCTATCAGAAGTATCTTCTCTTTCATGTGGTTTATGCAGAAGGTGGAGGATTTTTGTGCAAGAAATGAAACATCCCCTAAATTATTTTTTTTTTTACTATGCTTGGTTATTGCTACATTGAGGTTGTCTGCTCTTGCTAATTCTGAGAGCAGATAAGTTGTTGTAGATTAGTAGTCGTCACTATATTCAGAAAATGCGCTAAACAGTTCATTTTTAACCTTGTGATTAAATGAACTCTACTGCCAGCAACAAGAGAACAAGACTGTAACTAGCAACATACAGTCTTGACTAGCAATTAGAACAGTGGCTATCTTGGCTTTATCTGGTTTCCACGACAGTAAAACATTCTCTACCCCTTCTGCTGACCTTCTGAGAACATGCCTGTATTACACAAAAATGAATGTCATCAAGTAGGTAAATGTCGTTTGCAGGACTTACAACAACTCTGGTGTACACTTCTTCTGCAAAACCACTGTCCTGGTATTTGGCTTCTGTTGGGAATGTGTAGGCAGTCAACCACTGCAAAAGAGGCAGGTCTACTCTTGTACCAGTAAATGAATACTGAGGAGCATGAATATGTGTATCAACCAATCCCGGCATGAAGAATTCACTAAGGAAAGAAAATAAAATTGTAATAATCCCAAATGCCTTAAAATTCTCCATAGTAGTTAGCTTTGTTTTAAAGAGTATACTTGATTAAAATCCACCAGAATAAATGGCAAGTACAGATTAATCTGTCTCTTTCAGCATCAGCCTATTAACTCCTGCTGTACCTCTACCCATACCCATATTTTGGTACGAAACAGTTGAGTAATATAATTTCCACAGCAAAATACTAACTGTGAGAAAAACAGTATAAGAGCATGATTAATCTAATTGTCTCTAATATTGACCCACCCTAAATGCCAACAAAGGGGAACTGACTTCACAGTAACTAAAATTACTCCACTATAGAATCCACCTGAAAAAGAGATTTGTACACAGTCTTTTTTCCCAGTTTGAAGATATATGGAAAGCCTCTAGCTTCCAGACCATTATATTTAAAAAATTTGACTTTCTATATGCCAGTTTTCTTCTATGTTATTTATATGTCTATATAGATATATAAAATCAATTAATTTCAAGGCTTAATGGAAGAGCAGACACTCTGTCTAGAAATGCAGACACAGACACTGGTTAAAAAAGCTCTGCTCAATATCTTGACAGGAAAGACATATGTACAATGTAACTGCAAAACTATAAGTTGTCATGCAATGTTCATGCAATAACAGGAATTAATATATCAACATTACTAGGAAGTTGCTATGGCTATTTTGTTTTGTGCTGAAACTCCTTACTGCACAACATTTCTCTCACTCCTCTTTCCTTCTCCCTGACTATGAATGAACTGAATTTTGTCTCTTTTTAGCTCCTCTTTTTAGTTTTTTCTTGCAGGCAAACATGCTGAAAAGTCTTCCTCAATCTGATTCACATTCTCAGCACCTTCCATTTTCCTCAGACTATTTCAAGTGAAGAAAAAATCTCATTATTCATATATACTGTATGATTAGCCTTTCAGCAAAGCATAGAAGTTTTTTAACATTTGATTACTAGAGGGTAGTTACAGCTCTCACTTATAAGCCACAAGTCATTTACAGTGCTACTACATGCAAAGCATAATCCAAAACTTTTTCACACAGTCCAAAACTTCTTCAATTCACCATAAAGTTGGAGGATTTCACTGGATGAAGAAAAAAAAATTGCTCCAGCTGCAGTATAGTGAGAAATCAAAAGCTCTGTGTTTAGAGGGTTTAAATCTTCATCTTGTATTAATTTTTATTATGCAATGTGTCCAAGTCCAAGCAAATGAGTTTCATGTCTGCAGCGCCAGTGTTACCTACATTTACTGCATCTAGACTTTCATGTTAGGCACAGCCCACTGCTAAACAAAATGGATATAAAATGTAGTCTCAAGAAAGAATGGATATAAAATGTAATCTCAGGAAAGAATGGCACTCAAGCACGGAAGTGATAGTGCCTGAAAATTAATTATGGCATTTTGTTCTGTGCAACATACATTAGCAGCATAATTCAGCCTTGTCTGCAATCCCAAACCAAGGAATGTTAAAAGAATATGGACTGTCCATCCTCCAAGTTGCATCCAGAACACAGGCACCTTTGGGTGAAGAGCTCTCACTGCACTAAAATGGAATTTTGGCCATTAAATGTATGGGCATCATATGGGTTTAATGTTCTCCCTGTCAAAATGTATTCCAAAGTCTCGCTTTACCTCACTCAAAGAACAAACTGCATTTCCTGTAGCTAATCTTAACAAAACACATACTGTTTACTCAGTTGTCTTATGTCAGATGTTTTGAACCCCCACGTCTTAGCCAGTTCCTCTAGCTGATCAGCTTGTTCCACAAACACAATCTAAAAAAAAGAAAACATAGTTAAGTACCTTAAATGTGCATCCCACATCAGCTTTATGTGAAAGCAAAACAAGTTATATCTTAAAACCAATTTTATACACTTACTACAGAGTGTTAGGCTTGCTTTGAGACATTGCCCTTCCTGACTATCAAGCATGATTTTAAAACACCTTTTCGTAATCCAGTGAATAACTGCATCCACCTTGTAACTTGTAATAAAACAATTAATTCCTTCTCAGGTAATACACAGGCAGAACAGCACAGACCTTAGGTAACATCGTGGTAGCAGTACGGTCACTTGTGAAGAGTTGTACAACAGTCTTACAGGAATGCAGGTACAGTATTCACAACCAGCGAGGTCAAATTACCTGCTGTGCCTATGACTGACTGACAGCAAGCTAAGTATTTTCTAATTTTCTGCTTGTGTTGGTATTTTTAAATTTTTTCAGTGCCTACGATGAGAAAATAAATTGAAGGGGAAAATGTGGATAATATTTTCATTTTACAGAATGGGCTAAAAGAATGCTGAGTTCTTTTCTTATTTCAAAATAAAACCCTACAATCTGGAGCCAAACTCAACCCCATTTGACTCCTAGAGAACATATACTCTACTGACGATGAGTTGCTGTTGCCTAGTCAGAATTTTAACACAGTTCCTATTTATTTTTAACTTCTGTGGTATTTTAATCTATGAGATGACTCTTAGCAGCTAAATTCTCAACTCTTTGATTCTCTGGTCTATCACTAATAGGCATGACAGCTCCCCAGGAAACGGAGACTGTGCGGCCTAGGAACTGCAATGCCCACTACAGGCTCCATACGGGATCCAAGTATCCTCAATACTTGACAATTTAGAGGACTTGGAGATCTCCCCTGGCCAAAGACTGAACTTACAGAAATTCCTGCCCCTAACCACAGCCTCTGCCAGAAACCAATTCATGGTTTTCTAACTCCCTTGGTGTAAGAGCTCGTTCCCCTAAGTTCAAGGGAATACTCTTCTTGTTATCAGTATCCTTCTGCTCCTGGATGGTGTCCACACTGAGGGCCTGTATCACCCTCACAACAGCAGCTTCTAGGGCAACAGTTAAAAAGAAAAACAAAACTACATGGAAAAAGGCAAAACTTAGTACCTGTAAAATGGCAATAGGAAGAAACTTAGGAGGAAGAGCAAGAGGACTGAAAAAAGCATTGTTTCCCATTTATCTGCATTCCATTTTTAATGTGTATGCTTCTTTTGCATAGAAATTCACCATTTTCTGGTTTTTCCATAGACAAAAATAAGCAAAGCTGCTAAACTGTAAATACTCCTAAAATGTACACAATAAGTTATTGGCTGCCTTGTCTTTTAAATTAATCATGGCTGGTATGACTTACATTACTTAAAGAGCAGATGTTTTACGTTTTCAGTCAGAAAAAATATTAAAATAATGCCATATAAATAAATACCACACTAGCAAAAATTGTAATATTGTAGTATTCCATTAATAGTCAACAAGAAGCAGTATTGTCCTCCATGCAAAGAGGAATACATCTAACTTAATTTAACTGCAGAAGGTTTGGAATACAGACCTACAGAAATATCTGATGTGCAATAAAGAAAATGTCATTCAGATATTGAAGTCAAAATGGATGCAGAATGAGCAATGTTAGAGTTTCTGGGGGGGGGGAGAAGGGCGAAGAGGGAGGGAAAAAAAGAGAGCGAGAAAAACATGAAACACCAGATGACAAATTCTGAAAACAGGCGTTGCCATGGAAAAGCAGTGGCTGTAATGTACTCTTAGGGTGCAGAAAAATAAAATACCTAAATCATGGAAAATGAAGAAAATATGTTTCAAGGAAGCTGGATACATTAAATCAATTCTAAACCTGACACCTGGTCTATTATGGTTGAATTAGACTATGGGTAAATCAACAAGACATCTATATTTTTTCAAATAAACTTCCCAATGGAATTCCTTAGTCAGCCAAGAGCTGTTCCCCATTGCTTCAGGATGCATTTCTAATGCTGAATGCTTTAAACTCTTTGAGATCCTGTGCTTGGATATTTGCTCTAGTATTTGCTTGTGCATTCAAGGCAACCAACCGGATGCACAGTTCTTTAAATTAGTTCTGCACCTCAACACTGTAGAAGCAAGAAGAAATTCTACACCAGAGTCACTACAGAGTCAAGAGAAGTGCACAAGACTAAGAACTTCAGCTTTAAAGAAGGAAGCCAAGGAGAATAACTGGCACTCTGGGAAAGGTGTATCACAAAACACAAAATTAGTGGCTGCTAACCCCATTGTCCAAACACTTCCGTAAGTTCTCACCTGCTACTCATGTAATGGGGCTAAAGAATCCAAAGATCAGGGGTAAACTCTCCCAACACTTGTGACTAACTCAGGCCTTTTGTATACCAAGTGATGCCCAAAGCTCTTACATTAAAGCATAGCTGGTCAACTAAACCATGCATCAACCCTGATGTAGCAAACCCTGAGTGCCTTCAAGCACACAACGCAAATATTTTACTAACAAGAAAATGGAAAGGTAATTATACTGGCTGAAGGAACATAGTTTGCTTGGATCCAACAGTGCCTGGCTATGACATTCAGAGGTGAACATGAGAAGGGCTCTCTCTTTCCCTCTTTCCCCTCCCACATGCTCTCCTCCCTCCCTGTTCCCATAGTTATTAAACGATGTCTATTGTTTGCCTAGTTCCCAAAACTGGAATATGAGGCTAAATGAGACAAGAACATTTGCAACACCCAGCTGCTGAAGGAACTGCCCACCCTGCTGTAAAATGGGAAGCAATGAACTCCAGATAGATGGCACCTTCCTCCTTGTACAGCTGACATGTGTCCACTCACTGTCGCAACTGGCTTAAATCAAACCTGATGCTCAAAATCCTTATTCCAGAACTCTTGCTCTTTTCATGACTTCCACAAGGGCTTTTAGCTTAATATTTTTTCTATTTACTTAATATTCCACTCACCTAGGATAATTACACCAACATTTCAATAACAACTCACATTTTGCACCTATGTCTGTTTTCTATACCCTGAGGAATTCTGGTCTTTCTCTTTGCCATTCCTCAAGGGAGACACTACACTGCTCTGCAAACCACTCAGTTAAACATGGTCCTTACTTTGCTAACTTGATGATAAATTAGTGTTTTATATCCAAAAGCAATGTTTTTCTTCATAAAACTTTGTTTTCATCTTGGGTAAAGCAGAGAGATGACATTTTATATCCCTGGGATGTAAAATGCAGGGACTCACACTGCAAAACAGAACCCAGTTGTTCATACAAGCTTTGACACACAGTGTCAGAGACCATGCAAAATTTTTCCATGGTGGAGTCAGCAACATGAGGCAAAAGGACACCTGTTTAGTTAAATTTACATCTTTGGGAGGAAAACAGAAGCAGTTTTGGTGTAAATTTGAAAAATAAAGATAAGTAATTTTCTAACCACTGTGTCTTTCTTGAAAAGCCAACTCTTCTGTGATTCCAGTGGTTGTTCTGCATGAGGCTACATTATGAGTAATAGAGAGAAAAGAGAGCATATGGGATAGCCATTCTATCAGTCCCTGGAATATTAAAATGTCAAGAATTTTTAATAAAAAGAGAATAAAATAAAAGTGCTTGTCACTGTATTCTGGAGGGAATTTTATTTTAGGAAGATAGTGTTTTAATAGATTAAAAAACCGCAAAAACTTCTACCAATTTATGCAAGGAAAACAGTATACTGTGAATCCTTGTTCCTTAGGAAAAGGAGAGAGTAAGTGAGAGCACAGATCCCTAGGTGTCGCTTACTAAGATACCTCTTTTTCAAGAAAATCACAAAAAAATCTTGATTTCATATGGATGCTGTGTAGCGACACTTTTCCAGAAACTGACATTAAAGAGAGTGTGATGGGGTATAAATTTCTGCCTTGTGCACTGAGTTACACCAGCCAAACCTTTCTCATTTAGATCTATTGTTTTAGTGAACACCAGCCAATACATAACTAAGCAAGGTTTTACACCCCTCCTGTTTGTCAAAATACAGCTCCTCACAGACTTCAAGACACCTTGCACCAGACTCCTCAACAGCTACAAAAGGGCTGTCTTGAAACAGGCCCTCATGGTCAAATGTGAATAGAGAAAATGCACTGATACGGCTCAAACTGTGTTTTGTACATATTTCAAATGTTACTGAAGCCTGTTATTTAGCCACAAGAAAGAAAACTACTTTTTTAGATTTAACATAGGGTGACCATATATTATTGAATTTACAAAAAATCACCAGTCTACTTTCACAACCTGCACTATGAAACTGATTTTCAAGTGTGATAAGGGTTAAGGAAATGACATTGCTTCCCTGCCAGACTCTCTCCTACATTATCAGCAAGTGCAATGCTTGTTTTAAGCTTGGTTCATACTACTGAAATGCCCAACATCATGATCTTTCTAACTCTTTAAGGGTATATGCCATGGGGGGGATTTTTGTGGCAAGAAGATAGAAAAAGCCTCATTTAGACGGCTGTAGACAGCTAATTTCACCATCACTGTTTATACACCCTGAGAATCAAAATCCAGCTTGTGAAACTGAAAGAAAACAGAGAACGTGAAAGAACGCCAGTTCTCGGAACGCTGCTGTTCCGGGAACACTCAGCACACCTCAAAAGCAGATTTATGCCAACTGCAGACTCGTGCCGAGGGGACGCTCCATCCCGGTTAACTCCAGCTCCCGCAAGTGCGAAATTCCTTCTCCGCGGCGCCTGCCCCGACAGACAGGAGTGCGAAAATGCTCCGCTTTCTCTCCAGAGACCGGCGGAGCCGGCCCTGCCTCTCGCCACCCCGGAGGCGGACTGGGGGCCGCCAAGGGTCACTTCCAGCCCGGGCGCACCGCGCAGCGCGGGGCTCCGCGCCCGCCGCCCCGCCGGGAGGGGCTGCCGGGCATCTCCCCGCCGCCCGCACCCCGCCCGAGCCCCCCACTCACTGTCCCGTTATCGTCCACCCCCAGAAGGTGTCCGTGCAGGATCTCCATGGGGGCGGAGGCGCTGGAGTGCACGAAGGTCCCCTTGAAGACGTGAGCGAGCGGCGGCCGCTGCGGGGAGCTCATGGCGGCGGGCGCGGGCTGGCAGCTGCCACCCCGCGGGCTGCCTTCCCTCGGTGTCTCTCGGTGCCGCCGGCGGCTTCCTGGAGCTGTTACCATTTCCCCACCCCCTGGTGACTTTCTTTACGGGGAGTGGTTGCGGCGCAAGGAGGGCGGGAGGCCGCGCCGCACCCTTCGCCTTCCCCCGGGCGGGCGGCGGACGGCGGTGTCCGGGCGCAGCGCGGCGGGTCCCGCAGCCCGGCCTTCCCGGCAGGGATGCCCCCATCCCGGGGATGTGTTCTCCCCCGTGCAAGAGGCGCGATCGAAAGGAGAGATGCCCGGTGGGTTTTGGGGTCCCAGTTTCTCGCTGGGGAGCGGTGAGAGATTCGACAGTGTGTCTGGTGGTGTTTTACGAGTGTCTGGCAACTCAGTTTTGCAGCCAACCTGCGAGTTGTAAGCATTTGCAAAAGTTTAATTTGCGATAGGATTTGTAGGTTGGGAAAAAAACTTTTAGACCTTCAAATGTCAGACTGTCTCCTCAGTCCTCAGCCTCTGTATCAGACATTAGAAGAATGCAAGAGTAGAGAATAGATGCTAGCTGAGGTACTAGAATTTCCAGAAGTAGGCAGCCTCATTCAATGGAAATGGTCTACAGAAAAAGAGAAAACAACCTCAGGAGGGTGAAAGGCAGAGAAAAATTAATTTTGTTAACTCAGAGAAAAGTGTTCCCGGAACGACATTCTGCTCCAACAACCAAAGTCAAAGCACATAATGAACACATCCTAAGAGAATCACTATGAGAGTGCTGGACTAAGACTTCACAAAGGCAGAATTATGTGCATCAAGGGTAAAACCATGAATGCCCTCTGAATTAATGTTTGAAGTGACCTTTATTCATCAACTTATCAAGTGACAAATGAGCTTGGCAGCAAGGGCACTGACACTACTGCTCTCAAGGCTGCATTGCAGTTTGTCATTACATGGTTTATCATGAAAGACCTTTGCAATCCCCATTGTGCTGACACTATACAAATGCTTGGCAGATTATGTTTCCTACAGACTCTCCAGACTAATGGTGGGAGGAAAGAAAAACACAGCAGGAAAGTGCAGAATAAATTTAATTTTAGTCTCCTATGGGCAAGTCATCAGCCTCTATCTTGCCTTCTTTGTATAAGAATATGTTATGTTATGAGAATATGTTATGTTATTATGAGAATTAAGTAAAAAAATGTTCATTCGTGGATTTTGACATCAGCTAAGTCAGGCACTAAAGAGTTCTCAATTAGGACTTGCAAAAAACCTCTCTTCCAAAGTTGTTTCTCAGGGTGTTACAGTTGCGGTCGTCAGTGCTGGAGCTGAAATGAGCAGTTTTCCAAGCTATTACTCCAGGCAAGGAAAATTGTCCTTTGCATCAGGAAGGATAAAGAGTGGGAGAAAGGCTGGTTTTGCTACTGAGTAATAAGGTGAGTGGTAATAAGAAATATGGTGAAGAGACCAAGCAGCAGTAAATTCATTTGCTCCTCCTATGAGAGAGGAGTGAAAACAGTTTTCCCAGCAACAGCTGCTGTTCCACACAGCCTGCCTTTGCCCTGGCTGCAGCAGGCAGCACAAGAGCTCGAGATTTGGTACCAAAAGCTGTATTAGCCTGATTTGCATTAAGTGAAGCACACAGCTGTCCTAGGACAGCTACTGGAGAGGTAAACCAAGGGAGCTGCTGCTACCAAACTCATTTACTCTGCTGTTCAAAGTAACAATCAGCAGAGCTCAGTGTTTCTGAGGAACCTTTTGGTTGTGTGGTGGGGAAGGGGGCTGCTCCTGAGAATCTCTGTCTGCTTTGACACTAGTTTTCCCTTAAAAATCTCAGGGATTGCCTCCAACATCCTTTAAAAAAGAAGTGCAGTGATTTCAGTGAGATGCAATCCAGATAGTATTTATGCAAGAGAAGAAAACCAAAAATATGGACAGTCTGTTTCATTAGCACTTTTAAGGAGAAATGTCAATAACAAACACTGGTTATGATATTTTTTTTTTTTTTGGCTTTAGTGTGTTCCAAACACTCTGAAGTTATACAATTTCCTTGTCAAAAGAACTTCCAAAAAGAGGTGTCTTCTGCTTTTCCCAGCTGTCACATGGAAGCATGGGAGCTGTGGAAAACTGCTGGTGGAAGAATGGTTAACACCCTTCCCTCCTCCCAGATTTTTTTTTTATTTTAATTTGCAACGAGTTACATATGCATGCCCTAGATGCTTACATGACTAAAGGTGAGACCACGGCCAACTATGAAAAACTGAGCCGTTGTCCCAAAATGTTGGGAGACTGAAGTATGTTTAGTTTTTTCTGGGATAAACTGGGCTAGGCACTTCACCATCCGGAATAGAAATATAATGCTCTGTTGTGACTATTTCACAGTAATTAATTTGAGGAGTAGCTTTTTTTTTTCCTTCCCTGAAATAGTTGATGGTCTGGAGAGAGACATTTAGCTTCTTATAAATCATGCAATGGGTGTTCTTTTAGTAGAATTTAATATTGTCATATATGTGTTAATACAATTAATAGTTAATAGTGTGTACTTTGATCTAATACTGTTTAAAAAAAAAAAGTCTGTCTCATTATTCAGTGGCTTATCAGACTTTCTATGTCTTCTAAATTACTGACTTCTGGACAATTATTTAAATTAGTCCTTAGGTGAGTCCTGAAGCCAAATATATTCAGGATTAGAGGAATAATCAGTCAATGTATCTATAAGAGCACAAGGACAGATTTTAACAGAATAAGAGTGCCTTTATTCTCCTTAACACTTTCACTTTCTGATCTTTTCTTCGCTTGTCATACTGCCAAGGAAGAATTCACTTAGTTGATTTGAAGTCTCAGAGCACTTAAGCTGATCCTGCAACTTCTGAGAAATGTAAGGAAAAGAAACCTGCTTCTTCCCACTGCTTTCAAAAAGTAGTTGATGGGGTGCTTGCCACAAACAAGAAACTCCTCCGTCATGAGCCTGTTGAGGTCAGTGCCTGTGCAGCCAGAGTGCCAGGATATGAGAATTACTACTCTGATCTGGCAATGAATGTTATTATAGCATTTATAATCAAAATGGACCTTGTCCTTAATTTGTAACATAGCAACTAGATAAGAGGAGAGGAAAAAAATACACTTGATTTCTTTGCCAATATTTTTTTTTCCTGGATAAGGAAGCGCTGACTATGCAGCTACTCAATCCTTGGGTTTATTTAAAAAAAAAAAAAAACCCCCAACAACAAAAAAAACCCCAACCAACCGAACAAAAAAACCCAAAGGAGAGAAGCATGATAAATACCCACTCTCAAGTGAGAAATTAAGTTGGGAGCTAGGTTTTAATCCAGCACAGGCTACTTCATACACCTTATTTTCTCACAAAAATATATATAATCAGAATATGTTACATTAGTTAACTTTTCCAACTCCTTGTAAAAGTGAAAATTACCGCACTCCAAAAGAATATGAAGAAATTACAATAAAAACAACCTCTTTGTCATTTGTTTCCATGAGTGTTCACTCTGCACGTCCCAGCTGTAGTTTTCAGCCTTTGATACAAAAGTCTACTTAGCTTTGGGAAGGCAAGGCTCAGACACTGCCAGGGGATGCTGGTGTTACTTTCTGATGCTTCCCATCTCCTAAAGAGGCCAGTACTGGCATAGTACTATCATAAAATATCCCATCATTAGAACTTTGAAATGGCACATTCTGCTTGCTCTCAGATACATAATTAACTGAAGCACAGGTTGGCTGATGTTAGTTCTTACGCTCATGATTTTTTTCTGTTTTACTGCCAAGGCTTGTTCATAACAGGAATTGTATTAATCAAGCCAGAAAAGTTCTTAAGGAGAGACAGCAAATGCTACACAAAATATCAGTAAAATTCATTTCTCATAAGAAGTACAGACATGAATAGGTGAGATATGTCAAAAGATTTTGTTGAAAAATTCATAGTGTTTTCCACAAGACACAAAGGATGAATAAATGTGCTTGGTGGACTTTATCTCTGATCATGTTAAAAGAGAATACAATCGAATTTGGGTGTCTGCTGCTGTTAACAGAGGTTTATGGGAAAAAAATATGGACATGACTCGCTGTTATTGCCTGAGAACTTTCTCTGAGAAACTTTATCCATGGAATTACATTGTATGGTGGAGCCAACACACATTATAGAATGGGATTGACTTGTCTCCGGTCATGGCAATGTCATAGACCACTGTAGGTAACTGCTCAAAGAAGACTTTGTTGTTAGTCTCATTTTCATGCTTAAAACCCATAAAACCAAATAATAATCTCCAACATACTATCAGTGGCGATTTGTCTAACTTTGCATTGCTAACAGAAGATAAAACATTTTAGACATGTAGTCACAAATAAATTGTCATAAGGAATTAAAGTGAGATGTTACAATTTATTTCTGCTGTGTTGCTGTCCACACATGACCACTTTTCCTACTTTACCAAAGACCAAATTTCACTGATGCTGGAATTAATTTTCTTTTTGAGTGATTTATGAACCCTGAACCATAATGAATAATCTAATTCACACATGTGATTAATAGTCTGTGTATCCAAAACTACTACTGTAAAATCACTTAATATTTGCAATGTATTGAGCAGCAGTTGCACTCCTAAGCTATTTGAAGGATCTCTTCAAGTGTGCCAATGTTCAGTAAAGCAGCAAAATCATAATGAAAAGTTTTGTGATCAGTTTAAGGAAGTCTATTGAAAATATAGAAATAACATCACAGTATTATTAGTCCATCACTTCATTACAGAAGATAGTAAAACATAAATATATAAACTGTGAGAATCTAAAAAAATAACCAAACACTTTTTGAATTTCATTTGTAATAGTGATGCATTTACACTGAACTAACTTACTTATCCGCAGTTACATAATTTTATGGATTACCAGTTCTGAAATTGAACAGGAATTTATTTCTATGACTTTTTGACAGAAACTTCCTGCTTTGCACCCAAAACAGGATTTTGAAGCCATCTAAAAGTGGTGGTCTCTAATTTGAGGTATACAATATTTTGAACTTCCCAGTAGTTCTTCTTAAAGAAGGACAGG